AGGAGGGGGGCCGGGGCAGGCCCAGGCCCAGGCCCCGGGCCCAGCGCTCACCCGGCGCCGGCCCCGGCCCCTGCCCGCAGGCGAGATCTCGATGGAGAAGGTGAAGGTGAAGCGCTACGTGTCGGGCAAGCGGCCGGACTACGCGCCCATGGAGTCGTCGGACGAGGAGGACGAGGAGTTCCAGTTCATCAAGAAGGCGAAGGAGCAGGAGGTGGAGCCCGAGGAGCAGGAGGACGACTTCGCCAGCGACCCCCGTCTGCGGCGCCTGCAGAACCGCATCAGCGAGGACGTGGAGGAGCGGTGAGCCCTGCCCCTGCCCCGAGGTTGCCGGGGGCCGGGCTGAGCGTCTGGGGCAGCGAGTCGCCACAAGCACTCGGTAGCAGTGCGGCCCCTCCATCGCCCCCAGCCCCCGGCCGTGCTTCAACAGCGAGAGCACCGCCCGTAACGAGCGCGTTTCTATTTGACTGAACTCCCGGGAGCGAGGTGCTGCGCGAGGCCGGGCCAGCAGCCGCCTCGCGCGGGGACACATTGGGCTGCCGCGGCGCTGCTCGGCGAGCGAGGAGCAGGCTCCCCGCGGAGGCTGTGCTCGTGGCGCAGGGGAGGGGCGGCCTCAAGTCGGGTCGGAAGGGACCTTGTAGGTCTTCAAGTCCGACCCCCTGTCTGGGCAGGAGGGAAACTGGGCTCAAGTGACCCCAGCCGGGTAGGCATCGAGCCACTTCTTAAAGCCCCCCAGGGGAGGAGCCAGCACCACTTCCCTTGGAAGTTGGTTCCAGATCCTAGCCGCCCTGACTGGGAAGTAGTTCTTATGGATGTCTAATCTGAACCTACTCTCCAGCAACTTGTGGCCGTTATTCCTTGTTATCCCCGGGGGGCGCTGGGGGAAACAAGGTCTCCCCCAAACCCTTCTGGTCCCCCCTAGTGAGTTTATAGATGGTCACCAGGTCCCCCCTCAGCCTTCTCTTGTGGAGGCTGAACAGGTTCAGGTCCCGTAGCCTCTCACTGTAGGGTCTGCCCTGCTGTCCCCGGATGATGCGGGTGGCCCTCCTCTGGACTCTCTCCATGTTATCCACATCCATCTTGAAGTGGGGTGCCCAGAACTGGACACAGTACTCCTGCTGTGGCCTGACCAGTGTCGCATAGAGGGGGAGGATCACCTCCTTGGCCCTACTTGAGATGCACCTGTGGATGCACGATAGGGTCCGGTTAGCCCTGCCAACCATGACCTCGCATTGTCGGCCCATGTTCATCTTGGAGTCAACGATGATTCCAAGATCCCTTTCTGCCTCTGCGCTCTCAAGAAGGAAGTTTCCCATCTTATAAGTGTGCTGCCAGTTACTACTGCCCAAGTGCAGCACCCTGCACTTGTCAGTATTGAAACGCATGGTGACTTAGTTGCGTAAGATTCGCATGCAGGTGCCTGATCTGAGGCACTAAGGAAGAGTGGGGCCCAGATCCATCCTCCTGGTAACCGGTGGAGTCACAACAGCAGATTAGGAAGGTTGGGGTGAGGCTTGGGGCAGGTTTGTGGGGCGTTGGTACAAGGTGACTGAGGTGCTGGGTCTGGGGCCTGTCCACAGGCTGGCGCGGCACCGCAAGATTGTGGAGCCAGAAGTGGTCGGAGAAAGCGACTCGGAGGTGGAGGGAGAGGCCTGGCGCATAGAGCGGGAGGACAGCAGCGAGGAGGAGGAGGAGGAGATCGACGATGAGGTACGTGCAGGGGCGCAGCAGCTGGTTGCAAGTGTGCTGCCGGAGGTACTGGTGCCCCCAGGCCTCCCAGCCGGGTGGGACAGAGGCAGCTGCTGGCAGAACTGGACAAGGCCGCGGAGGCTGGGGGTCACTGTAGGCGGCTCGGACTGACCTTTTGGGCGACAGGCTCCTTCCAGTCCTCACTGCAGCTGGGAGGGGACAGCAGGTGATGCAGCAGGACAGAAGCTTTTGTTAGTCCAACACATGCCACAAACTTCGTCTGTGATGTGACAGAGCTGGAAGGGACTTGACCACTGATCCCTGCTTGGGGTGGGGAAGCTCTGGAGGCAGAAGAACAGAGGAGGTGGAAGGGTGGTGGCCCTGACACCTTGGTCTGGGGTGGGCTCTGTCAGGAGATTGAGCGTCGCCGCGGGATGATGCGCCAGCGAGCCCAGGAGAGGAAGAACGAGGAGATGGAGGTGATGGAGCTGGAGGACGAGGGCCGGTCTGGGGAGGAGTCGGAGTCGGAGTCTGAGTACGAGGAGTACACAGACAGTGAGGACGAGATGGAGCCACGCCTCAAGCCCGTCTTTATCCGCAAGTATGTGCCACAGCTGCCTGCCCAGGGAGGCGCTGGCAGCTTGTGGAGGGCAGAATGCCAGCCTGGGCCACTGTTCAACCTCTGTGTGAGGAAGCAGTGGCTCTTCCTACCACAGAGCAGTGGCAACAGGTGCCTGAGCTGGAGAACCAACTAGTGGCCCCTTGGGTTCCAGCCCCAGGTTGGGTGCCAGGCCTGGTATGTTGCAGCTCTGGTCCCCAGGGGATGAGCGTGGAGCGGTAAGGCTCCAGACAGCCTTGCCATGCTGGGGCCAGCTCATCAGCTGCCATCACCCCCTTCCCCCCCCGCCCCCCCAATCCTGAACAGCCTGGGTGGGGAAGTAACAAAGCAGGTCTGCCTAGAGCCAACCCAGAGGAGTGACCTCACCGCCATGGTGCAGTAGGGGGGATAAGAGGTGCGGACTGAGGGAGGGGTCAGGTGCAGGGGTTGGTGATGGGATTTGAGAGAGTTTGTGTGGCCTGTGTCTGCAGGAAAGACCGGATCACAGTCCAGGAGCGAGAGGCAGAGGCAGCCAAGCAGAAAGAGCTGGAGCAGGAGGCCAAGCGGTTGGCTGAGGAGAGGCGGAAGTACACGCTCAAGGTACCAGGAGGGGTGGGGAGAATGTTGGTGGGCAGCTGGGCTGCGGGGGCAGCGTCTGTGTGAGGGCAGGCTTCCCTTGGTAGGCTTGGTGCTTAGCTTGGGTCTCCTGCAGATTGTGGAGGATGAGGCCAAGAAGGAGCTGGAGGAGAACAAGCGCTCCCTGGCCGCCCTGGAAGCGCTGGACACGGATGACGAGAACGATGAGGAGGAGTACGAGGCCTGGAAAGTGCGCGAGCTCAAGCGCATCAAGCGGGACCGTGAGGAGCGTGAGGCGTAAGTATGGGGTGGCACCAGGCCTGCCCAGCCCACCCCCACACACCTGCTCTGTCTGGGCACTGCAGCCTGCCAGGCTCCCTTGTCTGCAAGGGTCTCTGCACCCTGCACAGTGTCTGCCCTTGCAGCCTGTGACGGCTGTGCGGAGCCCTGGGCAAGGGAACAGGGACCTCACGTGGCTTCTGCCTCCACCAGGCTGGAGAAGGAGAAGGCGGAGATCGAGCGCATGCGCAACCTGACAGAGGAGGAGCGCCGCGCCGAGCTGCGAGCCAACGGCAAGGTCATCACCAACAAGGCCGTGAAGGGCAAGTACAAGTTCCTGCAGAAGTACTACCACCGTGGCGCCTTCTTCATGGTGAGTGCTGGGCCGGGCCCCTGGGGCCAGGAGGATGTCTGCTGTGTTCAAGGGGGGTAAGCGCAGGAGGGGAGGGATGGGTTTCAGAGGGTGACTAGGATGTGGCTGTCTTAGCCCCGGTGTGAGTTCTGGGTTGCTCTGCTTTCCCTGTCGCTGGCAATGTGCACAGCCACGTTGTGCTGCATCTGATGCATCCTTGAGTCTCTGCAGCAGGAGCCTGCGTTGCTCCCCTTCCTCTTGGTCTCCTTTCTACCCAGCGGTGGTGCCAAGCTCAACTTCCTTGTCTACCCTGACAATGCCGCTGCCTTGTGGGCTCCAGCCCCTGGGGCCCCTCGGTGCCAGGCTTGTCCCAGGACCAGAAAGACTTTGCGTTTCTGTTGTCACTGCCCCAAGTCAGTAGCGACTTCCCCATGGCCACTTTCTCTGCCTCTTCCATTTGCTCATACTGTCCTCCCTGCGACAAGATCTGCTGCAGGCCTGTCTGTAACCCTTTCCTCAGGCTGCTGCACTCTGGACCACGGGGTGGGGGGGTGGGGGGCTGTGCTATGCTATGCTGCATGTATCTGAAAGGTGCCTAGGTCTTCCAGGTTGATGCAGGAGGTTTGTTGCTTGGCATGTTTGCTGCTGGCCCAAGTGCCTGTGGGGCAGGCGGTCAACAACCCAGCACAACCACCGAGGGGCCAGATGAAGCAGTGTGCTCCTTGGCCGTGCCACAGGCAGGGAGCCGGGTGGTGTTGCCAGGAATGCTTGGCGTGGGCTTGGCCTGGTCTGTGCAGCCTGGCTGGAGACATTCCTAGCTGTGTGCTTCCCCCGCAGGATGAGGACGAGGAGGTATACAAGAGGGACTTCAGCGCTCCGACCCTGGAGGATCATTTCAACAAGACCATCCTGCCCAAAGTCATGCAGGTGCGTGATGGGGGAGTGAGGTGGGCTGCTTACTGTGCATACGACCCTGCCAAGCCTGTGCTCTGGGACGGAGGGGCATTAGCCCCCCTGCTCCGAGGGAAAGTCTGTGCCAGGGCTGCTACTCTGACTCTCTCTCCCCTAGGTCAAGAACTTTGGGCGCTCCGGGCGGACAAAGTACACGCACTTAGTGGACCAGGACACGACCTCCTTCGACTCCGCCTGGGGCCAGGAGAGTGCCCAGAACACCAAGTTCTTCAAACAGAAGGCAGCGGGTGTGCGGGATGTCTTCGAGCGGCCATCCGCCAAGAAACGGAAGACCACCTAAGGGAGCGCCCAGGAGAGCAGCGCGCTGCTGGTGCCGGGGTGGAGGTGTGCCTACTCTGGCCCCCGGCCCCAGCCTGGTCAGTATGTCGGGGTGGCAAGCACTTCTGCTATAGACTTTTTCTTCACCAGCACCGAGCCCTGCAAAGGGCTGCACAGACTTTCCACCTGGCTCCTCTGTGGAGCAGCTAATCTGTGACAGCTGGAGCAGCCCAGCCCAGCCCAGCACCAAGGGGCTTCCCCCCATGGGGGGCAGCAACTCCCTGCTCCAGTCTGTGCAGCACCTTGTCTCTGCTGTCCTTTCCCCCTTTCTGGGCCTTGGCATTAGATTTGATTAAAGTTGATTTGTTAGAAGACCGGTAGTGCTCTCCTCCTTCGGAGCGTGTTTGTGGGGGCGGTCAGGCAGAGAAGATCCGAGCAGGGTGTGGGACCCTGCCCCCAGATTCAAGGAAGCCAGCGGTGGAGTTGGGGTGGGGGCAGGCTATGTGGCTGGGTGTGAAGCCAGTGGCAGCGCAGCAGTGCTGTGTCGCTCTGCAGGGCCCCCCAAAGCGTGGGGCCTGGGGCAGTCACCCTGACTTGTGCCCTCAGGGACAGCCCTGGCCAAGCAGCTGGTGCATGTGATACAGCACAAAAGGTAAGAGCCCTGCCAAGGCTGTGCTGCCAGGAGGGCAGGGGATGCTCCAGCAGCCACTCCAGAGCCCTCACACTGCCTCGTGCTGGCACCGCTGTGCCAGGGGCTCAACCCTGAGCCCAGGCCCCTTCACTCCCTGCACCATGGCTCTGTCCTGCCAAGCCCTTGTCTGCTTGCAGAGCCTGGGGCAAGGCTCTCCCTGCAGGCAGTACTGGCCCAGGGGAGCAGAGCAGGCCTGCAGCACCCAGGCGCTGTGGCAGCGATGTTCTGAGCCTCCAAGACAAGTCCCTGCATGCCTGGCTGCTAACTCATGCTTTGGTGCTAAGCCACCCTACTCTGGAATCCAGCACCACAGCTTGGACCACATTTCTCTGACCTAAAGCAAGAGTCACTGCCAGGTTAAGAAAATCTGCCTGCTCAAACCTCCTGCTTTGCGAGCCCAAGACCTGCCGGTCAAAGCACATCCACAACTTCCCAGGTCGCAGTGAGAACCAGGGGCAGGCCGAGGAAGGAGCACGATCATAGCACACTGGGACCCCCAATCACTTCCAGTGAAAGACCGGCTCAGCCTGAGAACCCTAAAGGAGACTCCAGGTGGCACCAGGAAGGAAAGGACGAGAGCTGGGGACCACGGACGAGACGAAACACTGCAGGTAGATGCCAAGCCTGGGCAGGGGCAGAGATGGTGCCTCGGAGCAGGAACAGCCTCCCCTCCCCTAGGAGCAGTGGGTCAGTGTCCCAAGGGCAGCAAGGACGCGGGAGCCCTCGTCAAACGTGCCCGCGCTGCAGCCCTTCAGTGCAGCGCACGCCAGCGCCCAGACAGCCGACTTCCGCCTGCGCAGGGGGTCGGGGGCGCCGGAGCCCGCTCGAGCAGGCAGGATTGCTGTGCCCAGCTCCACATAAACAGCACCAACAGCCCAGGCCAGATGGTGCCTTTATTCCCACCAGTCACACAGTGTCCAACCACCGCTGCTGTCCGCACGGTGCAGGCGCAGGCTCAGTTGGTGAGGGTGATGAGGGCCTCCACCACATTCCCCAGGTGCTCCCGCAGGCTGCGCTCCGCCGCCGCCCGCGAGATCTCCATCTCCGTCATCTGCGGGGAGGGAGCAGCGGGGTGAGCGGGGCGGGGCCAGCCCCAGCAGCGCCGGCCCCCGCTCTCGCGAGCCCCCCGCCCCGCCCCGCACTCACGATCAGCTCCAGGTCCTCCTTCTTGATGGTGACCTTGGCGAGCTCCTTCTCGTGCTCCCGCAGGCTGCGCTCCGCCGCCGCCCGCGAGATCTCCATCTCCGTCATCTGCGGGGAGGGAGCAGCGGGGTGAGCGGGGCGGGGCCAGCCCCAGCAGCGCCGGCCCCCGCTCTCGCGAGCCCCCCGCCCCGCCCCGCACTCACGATCAGCTCCAGGTCCTCCTTCTTGATGGTGACCTTGGCGAGCTCCTTCTCCCTGTAAGGAAGGCACGGACACGGGCGTCAGTGGCGCGCGGCCCCCGGTCTCCGCCGGAGACAGAGTACGTGCTCGCAGGCACGAGGCTCGCCCCGGGCCGGAGGAGCAGCCTGGCCACGTGCTCTGCCGCACCCCCGTCACCTCTCCTG